GAGTGGAAAAAAAAAGAAAATTCATTAGTATCAATTACAATGAACCAACTACCAGTTCCTGAAAATTTATTATAATTATTTTTTTGTTCATGTAAAACTTAGCTTTAACAAAAAATTTATAATTATTCAAAACATTAAAATTTGTAATTGGTAATTACTACTTAGCATAAGTTGATAATAAATCATTTTCTATACGAACCACATGTATATTTGTCTTATTAACCGTTTCTTTTGTTTATTTTAATTTTTGGAGATTTTATTTTCAAATTACTTGTAAAAAAGTTTCATTCTTTAACAAATTCTTTATAAACTGCTCTAAAAACTATAGCAAACACTATTCTCTTAAAAGAAATATTTAAAAACTCCGATAATTGTATTTTATGCTGAGATTTCTAAAAATTATAATTTTTTCATCATCATCATCATCATTTTAAGGTCATCATTCTTAAGACTGGTTGGACAAGCATCTCCACTGCTTCCTAATATCCTGAGCTAATCTTCACATTTCCCTAAGACTACTTCTACTCCTCTTAAATCCCGTTTTACCTCTAATATGTCTCTGAACAGACCTTTATGGCTAAGAAAGTGTCATATCAACCTATCTCGCCTACTTTTATTGACTTCCATAGAGTCCTCTGTTCTCCTATTCATTCTAATACCTCTTTTAAATTCTAACCTTCTCTATCCACGGTATCCTCATCATTCGCTAATTTAACCGTTCGCGAGCATAGAAGTGACTTCTTTTTATTGAAGGCGACTCGACCCTGCGCTATCATCTGCTTTATATCCCTNGATAGTTGTATTTTATGCTGAGATTTCTAAAAATTATAATTTTTTCATCATCATCATCAACATTTTAAGGTCATCATTCTTAATACTGGTTGGACAAGCATTTTCACTGCTTCCTATCCTGAGCTAACCTTCACATTTCCCTAAGACTACTTCTACTCCTCTTAAATCCCGTTTTTACCTCTAATATGTCTCTGAACAGACCTTTATGGCTAAGAAAGTGTCATATCAACCTATCTCGCCTACTTTTATTGACTTCCATAAAGTCCTCTATTCTCCTATTCATTCTAATACCTCTTCATTTCTAACCTTCCTCATCATTCGCCGGTAACACGACATCTCTTTTCCGCCGCGCCCACTGTCTATGTTTCGCACCCGCACAGTGCCGCGCTCCAAACATACACCTTTAACAATCTTCGAATTTCTAAATTAACCGTTCGCGAGCACAGAAGTGACTTCTTTTTATTGAAGGCGACTCGACCCTGCGCTATCATCTGCTTTATATCCCTACTACTCTTTCTGTCCTGACTTATCTGACTTCCTAGGTATCTAAAATCAGTCACTTCTTCTAATTTTTCGTTTCCTATCTTTATATTCTCTTTTTCCCTACTTTTTCTTCCCTTGCATACCAGTATTTTAGTTTTACTCTTATTGATTTTCATACAGTACTGATCTGTCAGTATCGCTTGCATTTTATTTAAATCTATCTCTAATTTTTGCGTACGTTGTACTCGGGATCATAATGTGGTGGTTTCCCGTTTCCTTCCACATTGCAGTATTGAGTAGAAATATTGACAATTTTATCATGGCGCTTCTCCATACCATAATCTATCATAATCCTCAAAATTCCATATTTTAATTAGACTTTTTGATGGTAAACTGATTTCCGAATATCATATTAACAGATGAGATAGTCACACCGATTTCCATCACATATACACGCTAGATCTTTCGTTTATTAGCGTATTATTATTTAATTATTTCATTTAATTGTTTTATCGTATTCACTTATCACCATTCTCTTCTTCCCAAATAAAAAGAGACGTTTGTTGTGAAAATTTCAAACCACTTTTCGGTTTTCTAAAACCGAAGATTTTATGTAGGTATCTCTTGTTACAATATTGACTTGTCTTTTCGTCTTAAAAGGTTTTATACTGAAAGGACTTGGCCGGAAGCATCTGAAGAATCGCGCAGAATTTATTATAAACTCTCTGGTCAAGAATGTTTCACATATATTTTGTGGAAATGTCCGCGAAAATATAATATCTTTGTCTGTCTTATAAATCAAGAGGAAAGCAATACATTAAAAGTTGCCGCTTTTTGCATTACGATCCCACGCTGTATATATGTATTTGTGTGTAGGGGGTGTAAGTATGTGTGTGTGTGCGTTGGAAAAGCCAAGGGCCGACCATCCAACTCCACGTTATTTATTAAGGTCTGAGGTTCACGAAAAGCGCCCTTGAAATGGGTATAAAAAGGCTTAGACAACTTTTCAGGAAAACACGGGACTACACGACCCATTTAATTCGTACTTCTCCAATACATTAAAATATCCATCGTTTTACGTTGCTGCAACTAATATTTTATATCAAAATGGTCTGTATAACAATTCTAGACGGTCAGTGTACATAAATACAGACCGAGGGATTCTCACCTTTAGATTTACATAATTGATGCTGACCCTTCGTATTTAACTGATAAAAAGGGGTTAAAATACTGGATAGTAATATAAAAGAAATTTTTGTCATTATTTGAATTTCTAGAGTTTTGTAAATTATTGAAAAGTCATTTTAAGTTTTCTTAAGTATTTGAAAAAAGAGTTATAGGGATTGGTATGTTAAAAAAGTTCCATCTCTTGATCATTGTAGGAAGTCAGAAGTCAACCCCACCCCCTTCCACTCATATATAATGACTCTCGAACATTCCACTACGTTCTGGACTCTTCTTTTTAGTACATTTTAGACCATTGCTTAGCATTGGGGAGAACGCCGGTTCGATTTCGGGTCCGTCTGCCATGGTCCAAGTTTTTCTGTGGTTTCCTTGGATCACNTGGCTCTCAAGAACCCTCATATTTAATAGCACTTTGTATTTTTATCATTTTTAGTTGCCGAACTAACATATTTAACAATAAAAACCAAAAGACGCAATTGTTCCTTACTAGTACTTGATTTTGGACATATTCAATAGCCTAAAACTGTGCTTTATTTCCTCAAGCATTAAGCTGTCACACCTACATCGAAAAGTGCTTAATAAATCAATAAGTCAAAATATTGCTGGTGTAAGTAGTAAGCATTCGTTGCGTTGTAAACAAAATTATCATTAAAGTCATTGTAATTTTCTGGTTGTCACCAAATTGCTTTTCAATGTAGAATTCTACATACATGCTACATTTATACATGGTGCATTCCCTTTTCACTTTTAGCACTTTTTGACACAGGAATGGGGCGAAATTTTCCATTTATTTTAATGATAATTTTGTTTGATCTTTACGTACTTTTTGATGTAAGTGTGACAGCATGATGCTCCAGGGAAGAAAACATAACTTAAAAGCATATCGGATGGAATTACGCATGTTGACAATAGTTCTTCCCGAAGAACTAAAAGGCACCAATAATGAAACAAAATGGTTTACTATGAAATTTTAGCGTTAGTGTGCTACCTCAGCCTTCACCAACAATCAACAGTAATTTTTGTATAGCGAATGGAAATTAGCATTAAAAAGGCAGTGCATTCTCATGTGAATCGCCTTGTTAATTAGCCGCTTTTGAAACTAACCACCGCTTTCATAAACGCTTGAGCGAAATTGAAGGTAGCGATATATTCGTACTTTGATTTTAATCTCACAAATGCTACAATTTGAAAGCAAAATATCGATTAGTTTTACCGTATTTTAAACATGAAATTTAGGAAAATCTACTGTATTTGTTGATGTAGATTTCCGTGTTGGTAACATTGTATATGTGAACTATCAATCTCAATCACGATATGTTTCGTTACAATCAGCATCATCATCATCATAAGGTCTTCAGTCCTAAGACTGCTGGGACACGTACCTCCACTCTTTCCTATACTGAGCTAAACTTCGCATTTCCCTAAAACTAGAACAAACCACATTCTTAACTATTTGCGAACAGTAATCTAACCTAGGTCTACCTCTACCCCTTCTACCTTCTATTGAATTCCATAGTCCTTTGTTCTCCTATTCTTTCTAATACCTTTTCATTTCTAACCTTTTCTATACACGTTATCCTCAGCATTCGCCTATAACACCACATTTCGAAGGTTTCTAATTTTGTCTTGTCCATGTTTCGCATCCGTACAACGCCGCGCTCCAAACATACACCTTTAACAACCTTTTTCGAATTTCTAAATTAACCGTTCGCGAGCATAAAAGTGACTTCTTTTTATTGAAGGCAACTCGACCCTGCGCTATCCTTTGCTTTATATCCCTACTACTGCTTCCATCCTGACATCTGACTAGATATCTAAAATCAGCCACTTCTTCTAATCTTTCGCCCTCTATATTCGTTCTTTCCCTACGTTTTCTTCCCTTGCATACCAGTATTTTAGTTTTACTTTTATTTATTTTCATACAGTACTGGTCTGTCAGTACCGCTGCCGTCTAAGTCCTTCTTGCTCGATATTGTCCATTAATAATTATAAACATTTCTAATATGTTTTTGGTTAACTCTACCTAAGTAATGCGTATTGTTTATCTCTATGTTCAATACTTTCAATTTTGCCTGGGTGATTTTGAAGTCAGTGCTAATTTCTAATGCTGCCAAATAAACGTTCAGTGGAATTATTACATACTGCATATGGTATTCGGATGACTGACTGAAGGGAATTGCAATGTATAACCGTAGGGTAAGAATTTTTTTTTTTAATTTTATCACAACGTTAATTGTGATAAGAACCAGTGAACGAGTGCCCGTCTTATCATTCACTTGTATCTACATACCTAAACCTGGGCCTTTATTAGATAAGAAACAATTTTAGAATTTAACGTATTTATGTGCGTGGGTTAGATAAGTACGTATTGAAAAGTAAAATGAATGAATGAATAAGTCATAAAATAAAAGTGTAAAACGAAACAAGAATGACAATTTGTTACGTAATATTTTATTGGCGAAATAATCGGAAATATCGTCATAGTTAATTGCGTTTATTGTATCTGCTTTTGTCAGTAGAGGAGCGAAATGATTAAAGTTTTTTTTTGAGATAATGAAGACCTCTTATAATTCTTCACTCTCTTTAAACAAGAAAGGATCTTTTCTCAATAACATTTTATGACCCAAGTGGCAAAGCTATATACATGTTTGGGTAAAAGTTAGCTACGCCGGGATTCGTTTCAGCAAGTAGATATCCACACAAGTGAACCTTGTTGGAGCATACGTAATCCTAAAATGTAGCATCGTACTACAGATGGCGTTTACCGCGCGTGGTGTTTCCGCAAATATTTTGTTTCTCAAAAATATAGAGAGATAGTAATGATAATGGTGTTGTTCTTGTTCTTGTTGGAGCAAGCGTGACAGTCAAAATGAACCAATCCGACCCCTACATCATTGAGAAAAAGTTTTGGGCTTTATGTCTGCAACTCTAAAATCTACCGCTCTTAGACTCCTGCCTCCCCTAGACTACGACCTCCTACAGGACCTATCAGTAATTCCAGCACTATTCACCGTTTTATTTCTGCTTAAACGTAATACAGGTAGATACGATATTTTCACAACTGTACTCGAAAGTACCACAATTTGCAGGTTGACTGGAAACAAAACAAAAAACAATTTTGGATTTATGAGTACTCAGAACTTCCGAAGTAAATTCTCATCTGTCACTTTCGATTGAAAGTTGTGATATAGTAATAGTAGATAACGATGAGTGAGCCATAAAATTTACATAAATTTAGCTCGTCTAGCGATTTAATTAACCTTTACATAGATATGTTTAAATATTTACATAAGTAGTGAAGGAATTTTGGCTTTTCTTCAGTGAGAACAATACATATATTATTTTATTTTGTGAATAATTTCCATTTGCTCTGATGTTTTGATAAAAATACAGATTAGTGTCATGGTGGGCATCTTTTTAATAGTTCAATTGCATTTCATATTTATATCTAGTCGTTTACCTCATAAATCAAGAAAAAGTAAATTAAGATTAAAATGCACAGTGCTTACCTCGTTTACCGTCAACACTCGGAAAGATTGTTGTTGCCAGTCAACGTGTACATTAGAATCTAATTGAAAAGTCTTTTTTTAGATCGCAGTTTGGCTGATGCTTCATTGGCGACACGTCCCAGCAACATAAACAACAGATTTTTTAAAATCACATTTAGATGTAGGCATGCTACGTAAAATAAAAAAATTAACAAATAAAACACTTATGCAGAAAAACTTATTGGGATTGTATTTTGTATCGGATAGAGCGCGATATATTTGAATGTTTTAAGGGAAAGCCCGCGTGTCGATTACAACGCGACCGAGTTGACTGCGGATCCGTCGCGACGCGCGACGACGCCTCACCAATTCTCTCGACATACATATGTGTTGCGTGGTGTACCAATATTAACAGTGGTACAATGAAACATCTGAACTTACTGTGCGTTCGTCACGTCGTATATTTTAATGCGTTTGTAGGTGGGACATCCCGTAAATAAAATACATACAAACTATAAACGTTTACTATCTATGTAACTTGTTGTTTGAATAATCTGAGGAAATGAAAAAAATTGTACGGTAGGTTTTAAGTGCCTTTTACGGTTTACTAGAGAATTAAAATACCGATAACTTTTACTTTTCTGTTGTTTTAAGTAAATATCTATATAGAAATGCTTGGTTGAATTAAAGTACATAGTTAAATATTCAACTTGACAGGTTGACAAAGTGTTCTAAATAATGTGTTATTATGTCATATGTCGTTAATTGCACCTACGATTAAATTATTTAAACCGCCAAATTTTATGACTGTAGGTATGCTATTTATTTTAGAAATCGAAAACCCTTAAAATTGCAGTGTATATCCAGTTGCATAAATATCAAATGCAATGTTAACCATGGTCTAAACCGCTAGGATTTGATGGCGAATCTTTACGTATCGACGTGCCATTTTTATAAAGAAAAGTTTAATCAGGTCAAAGACGTGTCCTCAAATAATTTTTTCTCTGCGATTATTGCGAAAATAATAATAATAAATAATATCAACTCAAAATTCTTTATTTACTACAAAGAAATAGGAACATGTTGAAATGTTTAAATTACACGTGTTATTTAAATTAAAGTAAAATTAGTGACTTTTGTTGTTGCAGATTAGATGACAAATAACTTGTTGGGGTTGTAAGATGTTACTTTTAGCAGAATGCTTGCTGAACTAGAGTCATCGGTCAAACGGTTTCTGAAAATTCTTTGATTAAAGAATCAATCACAGAAACAAATTCTTCAGTAACTTCGTCTTCGTCTAATTTTTCTCATGTATTTCCAAATTGTTGTTATATTGTTTCAAATTTAGAAAATACTTGTAGGTTCTTGTGATGATGTCGTTCCTGAAAACAGGCATTTTGGCCTCAAAAACGCGAATGACATCTATCATGACGATAATTGTTTTATTTATGCCTTAAAGTTTCACGTTTAAATTATTTGACAGACGTGCCCAAAATGTTGTGTCGCGTGCCATTGGTTCGCCATCCCTCACTGGGGCATGTAAATGTCCGCGCAGTAGCAAATACAAGCAAAGCATATTAGCTGATCGTGATTTTAATGCTGAAAAACAGAAACTTGTGTAATGGGGACAAGTAAACCCGTATGCCGCATCTATATGTAAAAATATAAGAAAAACTTTGTGCCGAGAGAGAAAATTTACACTGACGTGTACGGGCTAATAAACAACGAATCTGCGCGAGATCCACGTTATTTCTTTCTTTTTAAAAACGAATGCACGAGTTTTAGAAAAGTTTATTTTTTGAGGAACAAAACCGAAGTGTTAGAAAGAGTCCAAGACTATAAAAAGTTTGTGCCAACTCAAACGGGAAATTAAATTAAATTTTTGCGATCTGATAACGGACGAAAATAGGCACACCTATGAAGAATTTCGTAAACATAGAACCGATAGAGATATTATTCACGAATTTTGGTCGTCTTATATTCGTGAGCAGAGTGGTTGCAATGAACGTGAAATGCGAATAATCCTTGCGATGCTCATTAACGGAAAAGTTGACTCACAGCTTTGACCTAAGCCTATCAATGCTACGTGTTATTTATTCAACCAAAAAGAAAAAACAACTCCTTTTGAAAAATTTTTCGGTCACAAACCAGAAATTAATCATCTACACGTATTAGGTTCGTACTAAAATACGCCCAAGAGAAGCTTGAACCCAAAAGCAAAAAGCTCACCTTTGCAGGTTATGAAGTACTAAGTATAATAAAGATGGCGGAAGACGAAGGCGCGAAAGAATGTAAGAAACGTTTAAAAGAATTTGATGGTGATATTGTTATTGGATGTGAAGGAAAATGCAAAGATTGGTATCATGTAAAAAGTGCAAATATAACGTTAAAACAGTATAATGTTATAAAAGACTGTAAAGGGGTAAAATGGTACTGTGAAAAATGCTACCCAAGAAGTGAGGTTATTACAGACAATAGTGTTATAACAAAAATTATAAATGAGATTAAAAAAACACAAGAGGAAATTAAGAAACTCCAAGACGATAAACAAGAGAGAACCTTGATGAGCATCAATCAGAGTAATAGTTATGCAAACGTTGCAAAGCTGAACACAACTTAACAACAATTGTTGAAGCAAAGAATAGAGTGAACAACCCCAAAGAAATAGAAGAAAAAATCAAACAAGCGGTAAAACCTGAAGAAATAAAGATTGGAGTGAGTAAATTAAGAAATATTAGTAAAGGGCGACTTGCAGTAATTTGTGACAATGAAGAAGATAGAACTAAGCTAAAACAAGAATTGGAAACAAAAATGTCAAGTGATGTCAACATTTATGAAACCAGAGGAAGAAGTCCACAGATAAAGTTATTATTATTATATATTTGAACACCAATCACACAGTGTATGACCGAGGTTGCAATGTTTACCAGAGAAAAATAGAAGAATGTAAAAGAAGAACTAAGTACATAACAATACGATAACAATCACAGCTTAAGAATGGGAAAATATATGTACAAAATGCCCAAAGTATTCTTGCCAACTTTGATGAAATTTCAAATTTTATAGTAAATACAAAACCGTTGTGCATGTGTTTAACCGAAACCCACTTAACAGAAGAAATAGATGATACAGCAATATCAATCGACAATTACAATATACACAGAGTTGATTCAACAAGTCGGGCAACAGGAGGAGTACCCATCTACACCAGAAGTGATATAAGGACCTGTGTAATTGAAAGTTATACACAAATCAAAATCCAAACTGTTGGTTTCTAGTGGTTAGTGTAGAAATTAACAAAAGGTGAATCAAGAAACTATAAACTGGGATAAAGAATCATGCAGAATCTACGTAGGCAGTAATGTAGAAAGCAACCTGACGAGGATGTTGGTTATCATCAATAAGTTGTCGATGCTTGCAGCCCTTGATCTACAAACTGGTGATAAAGATGGGGATAAACAGCAACATATCGGCGAAATTCAATAAGCTGAACAGCAAATCAATGACTCTCTATGTAGATGACACCTTGGTAATCTCCAAAAGTCATGATGCAATTGACCGTGTATTGAATTATTTAAAAACTAATTCTAATATACGATTAAAACCAGCCAATCAAACCACATAGAAAACATTCTAAAAACATTTCGGATGGTTGACGCAATCCCTGTGAGCATTCGTGCGGAACTCGAGCTTTACTTAAAAACGAATATAAATACGGGCGAAGAAAGTGTCCGAATACCGTAGCACCAAGCAGTAATTCATTGTTATTTGTAGCTGACATCGAATGTGCATGTCAGTTTCTAAATTCACCCAATCAAGAGCATTAGCAAGCCGTTAAACGTATAATAAAGTATCTCTTCAATACACTCGATTCCAGCACTATTTTCGGAAGCAGTGGAAGAAACGCCATTGTTTGTGGTTACACTGATGGGTACTATGACGGATGCATAGAAACGCATACACCAAAAAGCGATTTTATTTTTATCCTTAACGGTGGGTCAATTCGTTCAGTAGAGCCTCCTCAGCTATTCCCAAGAGAAATCACATCTCTCGAAATTAACAAATAATCTGGCGCTTCCCTATAGCATCCTTTCGTGTAAATTGTTCTTTGAACTTTCGACTACCTGCACAACTTGGCGAAGTTCTCAAAATCGGCAATTCAAACGCGCACATTTTTTCCATCACCGGAAAACTGCTTCGATCTCAGATCAACTTGTGCATATCTTCTTGTTTTCTACACCTTTAGGGGTTGTCATACTTTCTCGGTTGATTTCACAATCTTAATCTTTAAGATCGTCTTTATTTTCGTCGTCTGCAGCATCTTTCAACAAAAAAAACGCCTCCAGTCAAGTAACCAGTTCCTCTTTTCTTTCCGTCGTCTTGGATTTACGTCGTCGGAGGTGCGCCAACTCGTTAACTTTCATGGAATAAATATTATTTATCTCGTCTTCGACTTCAGTAGTCGTCTGCCCCATTATCTTTCCATATTTCATCTTCATTCGACATCGTCACCTATTTTGGTTCGCCACCTTTTTTTGGATAATCAGTAACCCGCTGTTATCGCTTGTTGATCCCGGACGAGCCCCCAAAATTTGTGGGATTTATAATAGACAAGGCGTTCGATTAAAATTTTAATGAACAAAGAAATACTAACAAACAAAATGCAATGCAAATGATTCGGGAAAATAAACTGTAGGTAGATATATTAGCTTCTTCCGTCTTTCGCGTTCATTTCTATTTTTCGGATTATCGGTTGCTACGAACAGGTTAGCTTCTGAAGCCTGTTAAAATGATTCCTTTTGGACATATCTACCAGAGGTATTGTACAATTCATTTAAAATGGTTAGGGATATGTCCTCCCTTTACTTGAATGCACTGATTCAATATTCCAAATTCAATCATATTTTATCCTGTTCAAACTATTTCTGTTTTGCTCACGCCTAGTGTGTATTCATTCTACTATATTTGCGCAGCATTCCTCAATATCACATCTCTAACCGTTTGAAACGAGTTGTCTGTTTATTTTGATTCATAATTCCTCTCTTTAATTTTGTTCTCCCTTCAGAGTCTATTATTTGGTTTATTTTTGGTATTTTTGCTGAGAATATTTGTGAATTCTGTTAGGTTTCTGAGGAGTAGAAATAAATTGTTGAAATTGAGTGTTCTTATTAGTTAATAGTTAGTGGTCTTAAAATAAACAACAATAGTATCTTTACATACATAGTAAACTTATCGATGTCATAAGTTGCGCAATCCTGTAATAAATTGGTTAAAGCTATCGTTGCTTGTCGGAAATGTGAAGCAACCTACTACCCTACACAGGTGTTGCTCGCAGAAAACCCCTCAACAACAACGCACCGAAGATACTAGTCAACCAATTGAAGAGGAAGGGAACAACAACTAATGATGGTGCTTCCTCTG